GTTGGGAATGGGCAAATCCTTATCTTCCAATAATAGTTCCTCCCCCTGAAGATAAGGTGAGGTAAAGTAGCTGGTGTCTTCATAAAAGGTAACATCAGCAAAGATGAAGAACCTTTTTGAAGGAGGATGATAGCATTTATATCCCTTTTGAGTGTTCGAGTATCCGACAAAAATACACTTGAGTGCTTGTGGATCAAGTTTACCTAGCTGATGACTGTGAACATGAACAAAGGCTACACAACCAAAGACTCGAGGAGTCAAGTTATTTGTTGTTCGAAAATCAGGATAATATTTTGATAGGATATTCATAAGAGTTTTATGGTCTAGAGTAGCAGATGGTAACCGATTGATTAAATAAATGGCTGTTAACACAGCTTCCCCCCAGAAGGATTTAGGAACATTTCTTTGAAAAAGAATGGCACGTGTCACAGAAAGGATGTGACCAATTTTTTTTCGGCCACTCCATTCTGTTGAGGAGTGTCCACACCAGACGACTCATGGATGACTCCATTGTTTTGAAAGAAGGATTTTAAGTTTTGATTGAAGTAATCTCGAGCATTATTAGAACGAAATCGTTTGGGTTTAATTCCGAATTGGTTTTCTATCATATGAAAGAATGTTTGAATGGTAGAACCAACATCAGATTTTTGTTTTAAAAGAAACTAAAAAGAAGTTCGGTTAGGATAAGGAAATACTTACCTATTAGAACAATAAAACACTAACCTAAATAAAATAGGAAAACTATAATTTAACACAACATGAAAGGCCAGTAAGCCAATCCATCTCAACAATTAAGATGAGGTGTTCAAGGCATAGATTCTTGTATTCCTCCTTTCGATTTAATTTCGATTAAGGACATTCCAGCTTAAAAAAATGAAAAAGATTCTCCTTTCGATAAAGATTCATAAAAGTGCCCTCTTCTTTGCTGTTATCTGGGATACTTAAAGGCTGGCCTTTTTCAAGGATGATGAGTTGATTTTCGGAATAAGAATCTGATCATCAATTGCTTCCCTTTTGCTTTCTTTCAATTTTGTAAATGAAAGCTCGGTCTTACAATAAAAACAATTTTGATTGAAATGTTAACTTCAAGAGAATAAAAATATTATATTGTATTCAAATACGTGAAACTTAGGTCTACTTACATAGGAGAGAGACCTACTATAAAAAAAGGAATATGAGACCTACTATAAAAAAAGGAATATGAGACCTACTACAAATAGGAATAGGAGACCTACTTCAGCAAGGAAATAAAGACCATATTAATGTCCACTTATAGATACTAATAGACATGTGATAAACCTTGATAGATGTCAACCCTACAAAATTGTCATATTTGTAAAATATTATTCCTTGGACTATATTTGCAAATTTGATAAAACTATTTGTCACGCATTACAATTTTTCATACAATAAAATAATAAAAAAATCAATAATTACCTTTGTAGAAGAAAATATTGAATGCGTAACCCAAAGAATCGCATCAGAAGAATAATCAACACTCTGAAATAGTTGGTCTGCAATAAACTCTTCTTGCAAAGCATAGCATTGTGCTTCTCCCCTGTCAGATGTATAGACAACATCATACTAGAACAATTTTTTTTTAACGAGCAAGAAGGATACAAAATCCCAAAAGGGAATGACACAAAAATGTAAAAGGGAAAATGCAGCCTAAATGGATATATATGCATCCAAAATCATACAAATATCACCAGAAAAATAATGCTCAAATAGACTAGAAAAAGAACACCAATAGACAGCTCTGAAATTGGCTAAATCAAAACACGATGGGGAGAGAAATTAGAACACCAATAGGCAGCTCTGGATTTTGCATCAAACTACAACAAATCATATTTGACAACCTGAACAACCACCTAAGTTGTTAATTACCTGCCTATTTCTAAAATCTTTTGCTTCTTACCTAATTGTTATTAATAGGTTTTATTTACAAAAATGAAAATTTTAAAAATGAATATAAAAAGACCAAGTCAACACTAACTGTCGTAACCCAGAACTCAAATTTTCATAATAATAGATAAGAAAATTTCCTTAAATGCTTAGCCGCTGATTGCAACAGCAAACAGGTTAATAAGAGCCCTAAGCTGCACCTTACATTTTCTTCTAAAAATCTTCAATGACTACTACCATTTTTCTTCTTCCAAATGCCATCTAGTTATAATAAAACAGTGCATTGAAAAGTAATTCCATAGTTTCCCTTCTCGTACTCCTAGAATCTGAAAGAAAAGAAAAGATAAACTTACACACGATCATCAGAAGGTAACAAATCGAGAAAGATCAACGCGTTATCCTTTAAGACCCATATCTTATCAGATGCAAGTTTGACATCAAGACATCCACCCTAATGAAATTGGAGCAATTAGTATCCCGCTCAAAAATTATCAATTCAACTACGTTAAACAAGTTATAAACCTCGAATTTGAATGAGATATTTTTTATTTTCAACTACCTGATCCAAGGGAATATTGTGTGTTGAAGGCTCCAACATCAGACTGACCTTGTCTCCCCAACTAAAACGTAAGCTATATATGTAGATCGTTTCCAGGCTTAGATCCTTCACAATTATGCCAATAGATTAGTACATAATTTCGGGGGATTAAGCATGAAATTGTACAATAAATACATATGCAGCATTACTCTACTAATAGCAAATTAATCAATTGATTTAAGACAACATCATTTTTGGATTTTCCGTTGATTGAAAATTAACATTGAAGGTTAATTTTAGCATATAACCGTAACCATAACCATATCCAACTATCAAGTTCAAATTAAATATTAAAGGTCTTGTTAGGTTTGTGATCCATTCCAAAAACAAGGAAAACAATAGAACAAGTTCAAATTAAATATTAAAGGTCTTATTAGGTTTGTGATCCATTTTCAAAAACAAGGAAAACAATAGAATTTCCTTTTTTTTTTCTTAACAAAATACGAACTTTTCATTGATGAAATGAAAAGGAACAAAATTGTTCAAGGATACAAACTCTCAAACAGTGATTCAAAAAGCTCGAGGCTCACTAAAGCCCAATAGACCTCTGGAGCCTAAGCGCAAGGGGCAAAAAAAAAAGCACGGGCTTTTTCTCGCGAGGCGCACTATATATAAAAATACACAAAAACATATATACACACATATAAGAAACATATAAAAGCCAAATAAGATTCAGAAACATCATAAGTCTTAGCATAAAGAGTCAATGCTCCACAAAAACATGAAAATTAGAAATACATATAGAGAAAAGAATAGAAACAGAGAGAGAGAGCGCTTACAAACGAAGAGGGAGAGTTGCAGAGAGTTGCAAAGGAAGAGCTTACAAACAGAGAGACCACCGGCCACGGGAGATGGGAGACAGAGTCGAAATCGAAGATACTAGAGAGAGAGATGCAGAGAGAGTCAAAATCGAGGGAGAAGAGAATGTATCGTGACTGTTGAGATTTCTACGTGCATGGGAAGGAAAGGAATACGAATAGGGGAAGAATATGACGACGTGGGAGAGGAAAATTAAAAAGACCGATTGTCTGTTGAGATTCTTTCCATTATTTAAAAAAAAAAATCAAATTTAGATTGCAAATTTGAAAAAGTCGTGCGGCGTTCTCAATTCTATTTAAAAAAACAGACCCTAAACGCAAGGGTTTCTGCGTTTAGGGTTTGTACATTAAATTTTTTTTAAACAAAAGCCCATAAAGCTCACGCTTGCTTCATGGGCTTTTCGATAATTCATATGAGGCGAGTCGCATAGGTGCGCTTAGCACCTAGACGCGCCTTTTCAATCACTGCTCTCGAAAAAGTGAAAGAGAAACAAAAATACATAAAAATACAAAAATTTAATCTAGAAAACAGAATTACAGAGGCAAAATAAAAGCATCTCAATTATTGAAAATAAGAGATGGAGAATAATGAGAGAATGGCTCAGAGAGAGAACACCAATGAGATGCTATGAACTTTGCAGTCGTGAGACAATCTATCAAAGATCTTCGTTTACTCTTAAAAATCCTCGTGTTTCTCTCAAACCAGATTTCCAAAAGAAAACTTTTCACCACATTAATCCATAAAAGTTTTGCCGAAGGTGACAGATGTGTGAATCCATTTAGCAATTGAATCAAATTAGCATCAGCCCTCATATCAAAAGCCCAATTGATCTTGAACCCACCAAAGAGAGAAATCCAACCTTGATTTCCAAAGGAACAATGGAAAAACAAGTGATCAATATCTTCTCCACTGGATTCACAAAGAACACTGAAAGAAGGAGATAATGAGGCTGTAGGTAGCATTGTTTGAATCATATCAGCTGTATTTAACTTCCTTTTGAGCAGAATCCATGAAAAGATATTAACTTTCCTTGGACTTTTAGACTTCCATAAGGCTGCAAATAAATCTTTAGGCATCAACGAGGAATTACGCAATTTGCAAACTGAATTCACAGTAAACTCCCCTGTGGGGTCAAGAGTCCAAACTCTTTGGTCTTCCTCTTGAGTGATCGAATATGAGCTGATTTCTTCTAAAAGATCAACAAAATCTTGTAACTCATCTTCCTTCAATGATCTTCTCAAAACTATGCTCCATCAATCTGTGTCAATATCCCAGAAGTCAGCAAATGAACCAAGGGATAGCAGGGAAAGCTTAAACAGTTTAGAAAATCTTTCCTTTAATGGACTGTGTGAAATCCATGGAGAATGCCAAAAAGAAACCCTTCTCCCACAACCGATTTTGTATGAAACAAAGGATTCAACTCTTGAACCCGTAAACCACCCATGAGACTCCACACCATATATGCTTTCCACCACTTACCTCCAAAGCGACATAGGTTCCCAACCAAACCTCCAGCCCCACTTGGCTAAAAGAGCATCATTTTTCCTTGAAAGACTGCCAATGCCTAGACCGCCATCTTCCAAATTAAGGGAAGTAATTTTCCAATTGACCAAATGCTTCAAGGCCCCTTGGAGTTACCTTCCCATAAAAAGTCCCTCATGGATTTCTCTAGCAGCTTGACAATATCTTTTGGCACTCGAAATATGGACATATAATATGTAGGAAGGTTGGCCAGAACCGATTTACACAATGTCAATCTACCTCCACGAGAGAGGTATCCAACTTTTTACCAATTGATAGGTTTGCTATTAGGATAGATTAGGGATATTGTTAGGGTATTAAGGGTATATTGATAATTGGGTTTAGGAGGTTTAGTTATAAATAGAGGGAGGGGGAATTGGTGAAGGTAGGCAATTGGTAGTATGTTTTAGGCTTGAGTAAGTTTACTCAAAGAAAGAGAGGGGAGAGTCCAAGTGCCTCGAATTACTTGGTAGTTCTTGTACTTCTTATATTTTGTTATATTTCAATATATTTCTAGTTCATGTTCTATCACCAACCTTCTGAAGAACAGGACGCCAAAAATCAGAATGTTTAGGGTTACCTCCTAAGGGCAATCCAAGATACATAATTGGGAAAGAGCTAGCTTGGCATTTTAGAGAAGAAGCTACAAGTTGTGCACGTTGAAATGGGATATTCACCCCACTCAATGATGATTTCTCCAAATTAATAGATAGACCCGAGAGTCATTCAAAGGCATTGATAGTTCTAACTAAGTTTAAGAGCATGGCATCGTCGCCTTTACAAAATATCAATGTATCATCTGCAAAGGTGAGGTAGATGAAATGCATTGTGCCCAAACAAAAAGCCATCAAAAGAACCACAAGCATGAATACTATCCAATAAACTGCTAAAGACGTCACTTACTAAAAGAAAAAGGAAAGGGGGGAGAGGATCACCCTACCTAAATCCTCTAGAAGCGACAATTTTGACTCGTGGTCGCCCATTTATAAATATAGAGAATCTAGTATCCCTTACACCACCATTAATCCATGAGATCCATCACTTTCCAAACTTCTTTTGAACAAGAATATCTTCTAGGAATTTCCAATCAACTTTATCAAAGGCGTTTTGAAGGTCTAGTTTAATCAGCCACCCACTCTTCTTTCTGAATTTATAATCTTCAACCACCTCATTAGCAATTAAGATACGATCTAGGATATTTCGTTCTTCAATAAAAGCACTCTAGTTGAAGGAGATGGTTGAAGAAATCACCCTTTTAAGCCTCTCTGCTAATACTTTAGCCAACACCTTATAGATGGAAGTAGAAAGGCTTATTGGCCTGAAATCCTTAATTCTGATAACATCCTCCTTTTTTGGAATAAGACATAAAATTCTCTTTAAGACAAGAATTTATATGACCATTCTGGTAAAACTCTATAAAGAATCTCATAAATCTGGCTTCAGCTGCTTCCAAAACCGAATAAGGAATTCCGTAGAGTAGCCATCAGGTCCAGGTGCTTTATTTTTTCCCAAAGATTTCAAAGCAGACCAGATCTCTTCTTATCAAAATGCCTTTCCAACCACGGCTAATGTATCATAGAAATTGGACGCCAATTAATGCCTCGAATGGAGAATTTCTGCGTGGAAATTCTAGTATAGAGTTGGCCAAAAAAAACCAATGATTGCTTCTTCTATGTCTTGTTCATTCAATAGAATCAAACCGTTAGAGTCTGATATTTCAATGATCATAGTCTTACGTTTTCGAGCAGCTAGATACTGGTGGAAAAAACTCGAGTTTTCATCCCCTTCTTTCAACCAATGAATTTTGCATTTGTGGGTCAATACACGTTCTTTCTCAATAAAGATATTGAGTAAATCATTTTGTAGGGAAGAACAAAGGGTCCTTTCCTCATCCGATAGGCCAAGACATTCTTCTTTTGCATCTAAATTGGAAATTTCTGAAGTAATCTTCTCTGACTGTCTCCTTTGTTCCTGATTTTTCTTTTCACTCCACTGTTTGAGAATAGGTTTTAGATTTCTGAGCTTTGAGTGGAGAACAAAACCAGCCCATCCATAAGTAACGTCAGCAGACAACTTGGATTCAATTAGGCAGACACAATCTTTGTCCTTTAACCATGAATTGTAGAACCGGAAAGGGCTAGGATCCCATACGAAGTCCCCTACTTCTAAGAAAATTGGAAAATGGTCGAAGGTAATCCGCTCGGCCCTTGATGAACTTGAGTTGTGAAAGAGCTCTTCTCAGGCTTTAGTAATAAAGAATCTGTCCAAAAGAGAATGAATTGAATCATTCCTGGGTCTTGACCAAGTAAACTTACCATTAGAGAAAGGAAACTCCAATAAGTCTAACGAGTCAATTGTGGAATTGAACTTTTCCATAGCCTTAGTTGTTCTGCCATTTGAGGATCGTTCTGAGGACCAACAAATGACATTAAAATCACCACCGATGCACCAATAGTTCCCACAGTATCCTGCTAAATCAGTCAATTCTGTCCAAAAAAAATTCTTCTCTGTAATCAGTAGGGCCACAGGCATTAGTTAGCCAAATATCAGATGAATTGGAGAAGGAGATACAAATAGAAACAGAAAAACTCCCTTCCAGAACCTCTTTGACTCTGATTCTACTTTCATCCCACATGGTAATCAGGCTTCCAGACTTACCAGAGGAATTAAGTGCAGCCCAGCAGACATCCTTCGAACTCTACAAAGGTTTAACAAATTTTTTTTTT